CTCTTTTCAGGTGTTTTAGAATTACCCGAAGGTTCTGAATTTTGACTTATTAGGTGTTCTCCGGATGTTCTTCTATTTCAGATCTTTATTCTAAAGATTTACTTTTAATGATGTATTGCCAGATTTGATTCCATGCACATTGACTAGGAATTTTCTAACAGTCTTTCTTGGTTCTTACTTCTGGATATTTCTAAATGGAGTACTTTTGTCAAGTATTGGATTTATACAAAATTTGTTGGTCTCTGAATGGCTTTTATCGGTGGTAGAGCTGAGTGATAAACTCGATTATTTGATGTAATACACTACCTATAAGCAATGATTACAACAATCAGTGGCAGGCAAAGTAATTGACTAATCAAAATTACGATTAAATCAATTAATGTCACAAAATTATTCTAATTATCCAAGTGTCGTGGGTTTCTGATGAAGTGGAACTGTATTGGTGTTCATATGTCTTTATTTTGTTGAATAATATTGCACAAAGAGCGCGAAATACAGTAAACTAAAGATAACTCGTTACTCCACCTACATCAATAAATCCACTTATTTCTTGTCTATAGTGCCTATGTTGCATTCTAATGAGTATTAGAGATGTCTGCTTCACTTCTTTACATTTTCTTTATGCCCCAGTTATAAATTATAATCTAAAAAAATCAGAACTTCCCAATTTCCTTGTTGAAAACATCATGCAGAATAAAAATTCAAGTAATCATTTACATCTAAATAATCTATATTACTACTGTCAGACATTCAACACACCTATCGCATTCATATTTTTCTACATTTTTATTTTGGATGTAACAATGAAAACATAATTTACTCGTGAGTTGATGATTCACATTCGTAAATTAGAAATGTACACATCAAGTCATTAATCACTTTTTTATACATCTTAATATGTATATATGTGGAAGTTGCAAATAAACGAAAAAAACGGGGTTTGCATTAGGTGTAGATCTTACAGTATCAAGACTCCTCACTCCAACTTTTGCTCCACTGCATTATTAATTTCCAGGCATCAATTAATTTTTTTAATTGGTATGTTGAATGCCAGTTTCGTACGAATTAGAAACTCAAATTACCGATATTGACAAGCTAGAATGTAAAATGAGAGCCTTTTATCTTTTCAATTTACTAAGATATTGCTCATATAATAATTCAAACACAGTGGCACCTCACCTACCTCTTGCCATTTTTGGAAATGCTTCCTTATATACACTTCTATATATGACATGAATAACCAATTGGAAGTACAGAATGTCCCCCTAGTGGCTTTGTCAGTCATTTTAACAGGCTTGATGCCATTTCTTTCTTTTGAATCAATATTTCAATGAGGTAGAGCATATCTTTAGCCTGCCTGAAATTTCATGTTTTTTTAGACTAAATACATCTTAGTTACTAAGCTTGATAAATTATAGTGGAATTCTATGGTATTAATGTAGTAATTTATGATTTTTTAGTTGTTCAAATGTATATATAAAACCTAAAAAAATTGTTTCATATCCTCCATATGCAAATGTTTTAAAGGCTTAGCAGCCTACGTCAAGTAGCAACTGAGTACAAAGGTTGTAACTAGAAGAGATAATTGTTTGCTTTACTTCTTTATTTACTGTTCTATGTTTTAAGAAAAATAAGTTTAAGAACTTTTTTCAAAAATAACAATAATCTATATACATAAATAATGTATAATAATTAAAATGTGACTGTGTTTTACAAAATACTAGTTGAATAAAACACAGCCAAGGATAGTTACTTTATACAGACCAAAGGTCACCTTTATGTTATTTGATATGGTAACATGAGTGCACGTGAG